AGACTAAAATTAAATCGAGTTTCGAAAGATGCTTTATAATACGGACTTTGTGAAATAATTTCTATGCAGATATGTAAGATATCTGATAGAAAGATAGCTGACGTTTATTATGCTAAGCATACAGTTCTGGAATAGGTATTTTTAATTCAAACACTAGGTTAGTACTATACTGTAGTTAGTAGAAAACTTAAATTTGTCTATTGTGTTTTTTTGTTTCTAATCTATTTTTTCTGCTGACTCTACAAACCTAAAACTTTTTAGAGAATACATAATGAGGCTTAGCCTATATCCATTCACATACGCCCACGTATCAAAAAGTTACAATTTATTTATTATTTCATTCAAATCTAAATTATTAATACTTTGTGGCAAACCAAAAAGTCTTCATCAGTGTGCTTACCACGAGTTTACGTTAGGTGTGCTCGCTAGCGACTGCGTAAAAAAATGACATTAATTGTATGACAAATTGTGCAGCGCCCCTAGCGGCTACTTTCAAGAAACAAAATCTTCATAGAGATTTTTGACGTACTCGCTAGCGAGCACACCTAACGTAAACTCATGGTAGGTACACAGAATTATTTATGTCATTTTACTCGCAATAGCAAGTGAAAATGCTTTTTATGAATGAACTGCGATAGCATTTATTAGTAGAATTATCATGTTCGCCTACAATTTGTTTTGTTTGAATAAAATTCTTTAACTTTTCAATGCATAAACAGAAAACTTTATTGCCCCCTCAAAATCAAAGACTAATCAGCATTTTCACTGCAACTTTCAAGACATCATTCGATTTCAATACTCTACTAAAATGATAGAGCACATACCGAGCGATTTGTAGAAAACAGAAAATGAATCTAATGAGTCGCGTGCAGGAGGTAATTTAGTACTTACTGCGGTTCTGTCTTTGTATAATCTCTGGCGTGTCCGGAGAAACCACAATTTTGCAAAATGACTAAGAAGACCAATGGTTATTAATAAATTACATTATCTTCTTTATATTGCAAAAGATAGTTTTTAACTGAAATCATACCAGGATACTTTTGGATCGCTCCAAAAATCTAATACCTTCACGGAGTGAAGTAAGAACTAAAAATCGCCAGAGCGAAATTATAATGACACGTTTTGCCACTTGTGTTAATTTTAGATGTATTATGTCTATTTTCTCTCATTTTGAAGAGGCCCATAATTCATAGAGTTTGGGAAAGACAGTTAATTCCAGTCCCTAGCTGTTCAAATTGTAAAATAATTAAAGAAACTTCAGTGTTTTTAACTAGAACAACTTAAGAAATTAACATTGGGAGTCTACTTAGTCTAGTGGTTCACACACAACTCATACTAGACTACAACATAAAGTTTGATTGCGAGTCCAAATCCCACAGGGGCTTGATGTTAGTATGAAAGCCACTTCTAGAGTCATTAATATGTGAAAGGGTCTAAATAGTTCACTTTTTGTGTCTAGAAACGTGTTAACGGTATTGTAAAGGCGATAGTACATCAGAATATAGATTTTTGTTGCAAAATAGCTCTTAACACAACAGAGAAAGATGTCACAATGTTAACCTTTGACATCTTACTCAGTGTAATAGAAGCAAAGTGCGTGTCCGTACCTACTACATACCAATACCCTGGTGATTTATGTGTAAGTGTATATTTTTAACGCAATATCCCAACGAGCGGAGCCAAAATACAAACCGTGTCTGCAATTAACGTCTTCTTCCATTCTTTCGTTCCATACAAATCTAAGGTTACAATAACATTTCAAAGACAATCCTAAAATACACAGACGTTTTCCTAATTCAATACGTCTCTCTAATTGGGTCTGTAAAGTAGAATGTAAATTTTCAATTTGCATAAAAAATTAGGGGCTGTCTCATGTATTCATTCTTAAATAAATTGGCTGGCAACATGAAGAATAATACGAGTGGCAATTAATGGTAATTTATTTTCAGGCCAATCTATGCCGCAGGATTGAAATAATACGTTCAATTTTGGAAAACGGAGCACAATATAACCTATAAACAGAGTAAGTTACTTGCAGCATCGATTTTATAGTAGATGAAAATATAATAGAGAATAATGATATTTTGAACCGTCAACCGCTGGAGTCTAGTCTAAATCTAATAATCTCATAATATTATATTAGTTTATTTATTTATTTAATGAAAGAAACAAAGTTTTGTTTATACATAAGCCAACAAAGTTTCCAACGTTAGTTTGCTAATAGCGAAGACATATAAATTGTAAAAAGTTTCGTAGTAACTAGGTAATTTCATTCATCAGAAATAAAATAATCCCTCTCATACTGGGCTCATCAGGACTATTAGTAAACAAGTATGGATAATAGGTTAATAGGTTCTTATTTAACTGTAAAATAATGTTGTGGTAGGTATAATAAAACCTATGTTTTATGCATTCTAAGCCTAGGCGCAGACCATCTATTTTTAGTTGGCCGATAGTTGGATCGGGCTGTTGATCAGTATGGAGGGAGATGTATAAAAGTGCGCACATTACACCGATTTGGTATCGGCCGATTCTTCATATAAATTGGAATCGGGTCCAACTATCGACCAACTAAAAGTCGGTGGCCTGCGCCTAATCTAAAAGATATGAGCGGGCTTCATCATGATCATCATTTCAGCCATAGGAAGTCTACTGCTCTGAACATAGGCCTCCCCCAGTGATTTCCACAATGGCCGGTTGGTGGCGGCCTACATCCAGCGCTTTCCTGCTACCTTTATGAGGTCGTCGATCCACCTTGTAGGTGGACCTGACCGCGTTTAACACACATTGATATATCCCTTATTATTTTTCAGACAAATTACCAGCAGTAGCATTACGGTTCGGTATAAGAAAAGTATTTTCTTACTTTCCGATCAGAACGTAAAAAATGTGTAAAGATTATACTAAATTCAAGACGCCATACATACTGCATAAAAATGACAAGAGCGAAATACATTTATACGACACAACCATAAACTTTTGAAACTGTCGGTTATAAAATATGACTTCGTATTTTATTGGATTTCAGGCGTTTCAAACATTTTGTGCCAAGACAAGTAACATTTGAAAGCTACTGTACTTGCTTTTTAAAGCATTATTGAATGGTGTCTACTAAAAGTAGAGTTTGATAATAGATGTCGTTGTTCGCTTTTAAATCGCAATAACGTTGGAATTCTTCTGATTTCACTGAAGTATTTTGTCATTGTCGTTGGTAATGAAATAATAAATAAATAGCATAGTTTTTAAAGTGGATAACACTGAAATAAGAAGTTTTCATAATATGTGAATAGATAACTAACCTTGTATTATTTAGCTGCTTTATATATTTTTTTGTAATTTCTTTTTTGTAAAGCAAGCAATAAACGATTTTTTTATTTATTTATTTATTTATTATATTTATCTCTGATCTAGACTAGATATTTAGGTTTAGAGTCAAAGTCTAGAAGTTTTGGGTCTAGGTTATTGGACAGATTGTAAAAGCAATTTGTTTATTCATTAATTAATATAACGATATTAATTAATGAATAAACAAATTACCCAGTAATGGATGTTACAGTAGCCAATTTAGATGTTAGGAATATGTTATTTGACTAGTAATTTACCTAATTTGCCTTATCATTAGTATTAAGACTTGTTTTAACAAATTTAAATCAGTTATTATCAGGCAAAATTAAAATACAACATCAATTGATTTTATTAAAATCAAAACTAAAGATATTCATAAATAAACAATTTGTTAGCCTTTGTCAATGTTTTTCTCTTGAAGCTATCAAAAATCAAACACGAGTCTTAGGCGGTTATCACAATGCGTCGCGCTCCGCCGCGGAGCGCGGGACGACAGATTTAATCATTGTATGCAAATACTTCAGTTTGTATAGAAAACACGCGCGGCACTTCACACTGACAACGCGTCTGCACGCGGGATTTTTTATATGAAATCACGCGCTCCGCGGCGGAGCGCGGCGCAGTGTGATAACCGCCTTAACGCGACGTTATTAATGAGTTACACTGTTTAGTTGAAATGGAACGCGAAAGTTTAAAATCTTATACAGGATGTTAGGTAAATGGGTATATAAGCCGACACTAGCCCATGTTAACATGAGTGTATAAATGGTATGGTGAAGTCAGAAAATTGATATCTTCATTTTAATTATTTAAATTTTCATACAAATCGGATTTTATAAAATTTATTTTGTATGAAAATAATAAAAAAATAAATGACGATATCAAATTTCTGACTTCACCATACCATTTATATGCCCATGTTAACATGGGCTAGTGTCGGCTCCTATAACCATTTACCTAACACCCTGTATAAAAAATCAAATAGCAAATAAAGTTATTTTTCATTTTGCTACTTATGTACTTCTCAAAAATCCCCTCTTCATTCAACAAAAATGTTTATGAACGCGATGGTTTCTAGTAAAACATTCCAATCTGTTTTAGGCCGATCCATTCATTTCCATCTCGCACAAATTTTATATATCTGTCCAAATAAACAAATAGGTTAATCTTAGATCTCGGAAAACTACAAATATCCCAGCTAAATCGGATCCTAATAAATTCTTCAGTTAAATATGGACTACATACCTACTCATTGCCTCAGATTATGCAGCAAGAATCTAATCTATAACAATCCAGTCACAATAATGTATCAGATACATGCTAAATACTAATTTTCTTTCGTTTCAGCTAAATGACGTCCACTTCCAATGCTGGCCAAAGGATGGATGCCATGGATTTCCCAATTCCCGGAAATGAATTGAAAATTTTAGGCACCAAAAATACTTTTTTTTCCATTTTTATGTTCGTAGCTCCTAGAGCTGATGACCGCTGGAGCAAAAAAAGGTTTCGAATGGCGACCAGTACCAACGGGCCGGAAGACGTAGTGTCAGCAGGCCCCTTAATAGGTGGATTGAGGATCTGATGATGATCGCAGGAAGTAAGTACCTACTCGTAAAGAACTTGATATTTACTACTCATATTAGCTCGTAGAGCTGATGGCCGCTGGGGCAGAAGAGATCTCGAGTAGCGACTATGGGCCAGAAGACCTACGACTATCAGCAGGCCCTTCACTAAGGTGGATCGACGATCTGATGAAGGTCGCGGGTAGTACTCGTACTAAAAATAAAAATAGGGTAAAAGGTTGCCAACACCTGTTTTCGGAAAGTGTTTACAATTATTTGGTACACATAGTCGGCTGTAAACATTTATACGCTATGCGTCGTTTCGTGGGTATAGTACATTTTTATTTCCACTTATCATACATTGTATTTTCCATATTCTAAGAAAGTTTAGGTTTTTTACTTTAACCTTAAGATTGGGTTGAAAGATTAAGTGAAAACAGCCCAGTGAAAAATATAAGGTTTCTGTTTTTTTTACATTTGGCTACGGAGCCCTAAAAACCAATATTAATTACGTGATAATTTTTGAATTTGCAACGTACACACTACAGGCATGTGATAGGAATAAGCTGTCTTTAAATATCAATTAAATAATAATGAGACCATAATAATGGTCTTGGTATACCAAAAAGTCCGATAAAATAACAAAACAGTGCATAACGTATTCTTAGTATCAGTGTACTTATTTAGAATCGATATCTTAACTTAACCTAACGATCTATACATATAATATAAACTTTTATTTAAACAAACTTACGTGTTTTTTATGTTTCCAGTATGTATGACATTCCTGATGCTGAGCTCATTCGTAACGTCCAAGAGTCGAACCCGAAGGCCTATGATTAGGTACCCCAAAGACTCCCAGTTTTGGGCCACTGACTTCTTCGTGAGAGGCTGCAAAAACTTTTTGGAGTCTTGTCCAAAAGAGTATAAGTAAGTTATATACTTTATACAAGCAATTGTTGTTTAAAACTGATATTTTGCTGTGTACTATCCCTAAATAAATAAAAAGACGAAGCACACTTGTCAATCTGGAAAGGGATCGTAACCGTATCAACTCGAAGCGATCAGTATTCGTTGTCTGAAACTACACACTTACTGCAACGTATACTTATCCGCACCGTAACGTAAACACCATGCCTCGCGCACGAAAGGCGATACAGTTTTAATCCCTTTCCGAGTTGATAGTCTGCTATGACCTTAAAACTAGGCGCAGACCACCGATTTTTAGTTGGCCGATAGTTGTGCCCGATTATAAATTGTATGAAGAATCAGCCAAATCAAATCGGTGTAATGTGCGCAATTCCATACATGCCATACTGATCAACTGCCCGACTAAACAATCGGCCGACGAAAAATCGATGGTCTGAGCTGAGCCTAGCGTAAAAGTCAAAACTATTTATTACCTACTAAAACCTATGATGTAACTCGCTAATCTCGAGCAGTAGGTAAGCAGTACAAAATATTTTTAGCATCTTTTGGCAAACAATTTTTATGAGGCAAAAATAGCCAAGTAAATATTTGTTCATGGAAAATACCAATTTAGGCTTCAGCCAAACCAACGCGTGTAGTTTTTTGAAGGGACGCGCACTGATAGCTTGAAGAGCTTTTCCAGCTTCACCGGGCAGAGTGGCGAGTACAGAAGGTAGGTACTCTAGCCGTTTGGCGATCGTCGGTCGCAGATCGCCGCGGCCAATGACAGGACGCGTTGTTTTAGGTTAACTCTTTTCTAATGCGAACAGCTAGGGACTAGAATTCGCTGCGTGCTGCTGTCTTTCCAGAAAACTATGATCCGGGCCTTTTCAAGGCGAGATTGAATAGGCACTTATATACCATCCTAGACTGCTTCCCACTTAACTCCAGGTGCGATTGTGGTCAAATACCGGCAGCTTCGTAGCTACGAGCTATCCTATTCCCCGCCCACTGCCAATTGATTTTAGCGATTCTGCGGGCTATGTCAGTCACTCTGGTTATCCTACGGATCTCCTCATTTCTGATTCGATCACCCAGGGAAACTCCGAGCATAGCATGCTCCATCGCCCTTTGTGTGACTTTGAGCCTTCTTATGAGGCCCATAGTAAGCGACCACGTCTAGTAGCCGGAAGACGTAGCATGGGCACGCCTCCCACAAGGTGGACCGACGATGTTGAGAAGGTCGCGGGAGGTGCCTGGATGCGAACGGCGCAGGACCGCTCTTCGTGGAAATCCTTGGGGGAAGCCTTTGTCCAGCAGTAGACGCCTTTTGGCTGAAACGAACGAACGAACGAACCGGCAGGTATTGTTATGAATAAAAAAAAAATGATATTATGAACTCATTGCTACAAATTCATATACGATATCTGATCGCCATCGCCATCGCGCACGTTGGCTGCACGCGTTGGTTTGGCCGAACCTTTAGTCTATTCATAAGGCTTCTATTCTGGTCTGACCTCTATAATAACAAATTATGATCAGAAGTTAGATAATTTGGAAGGAGAAAAATAATGTTACAAGTTTAACTTATCGTGATTTATGGAAAAATATTGGCCTTCTTATTTTTGAATATTATTACGTAACGAACGGTTTCTTTTTAGTTTCAGTCTATGGTTTTTAGGTATTCATTGTTTTCGTAAACTTCCCGAAATCCTTCTTTTTTCAGTCCAGCTTTTATTTTTCATTTCAGCTCAAAAGACTTTTAAAAACATATTTTTGGAATACATTATTCAAATAAGATTCTTATTTTTTAGTCTTTTATTCATTATAGAAACACACTTTTTAGCTTTTATAAATGCAACCACCTGATAAAGGTACGGGACTATTCCCACCTCTCGTTCCCACCACTGCAACTCCTGTGTAGCCAGGATCTACAGCTTGACCGCCACAAAAACCCAACCAATGAAGGTCAAGTTTGTCCCGGGGGAAAGTTAAACTGTCATTGGACCCGCAACGAAATTAATCAGAAGAACATAGGAGGAGTTCGAAATTAAGGTTCGACTTCACCTGATAAAGGTAGCAGGAAGGCGCGCTGAATGCAGGCCGCTACCAACCGTGCGATGTGGAAGTCATTGGGGGAGGACTATGTTCAGCAGTGGACGGACGTCTGAAATGATGATGATGAAATGTAATCAAAAACTGCTTGTTGACGTTGGAAAATAATAGAGTCTCATAAACATTTTGTTTTCCAGATATCAAATAATTTGCGCTAGAAACTACAACGGAGACTTCAAATTCTTCCCAAACTACTGTGAGATGCAGTATGAGAATTGCAATACGTGGCAGAGTAAGTATTAATACATTTTCACTAGCAAAAACCACAGGATAAACTTGACCTTCACTGGTTGGGTTTTTATTGGCGGTCAAGCTTTAGATCCTGGCTACACAGGAGTTCCAGCGGTGGGAACGAGAACTGGGAATAGTCCCGTTGCAAAAACTACTAAAAAAAAGATGCCACAGTGTTAAGCATGGTGTGCTATCGTATATTCAGGGTGTCCCGTAAAGAGTGTGCCAAAGTTAAGAGATGATAGACTAGTGGATTACCAATGTTCATGGATATTTTTTTTTAAGTTTCACCATTTTCGATACGATTTTTTTTTCATATTTAATCCTCAATTTTGAGCCTTTCTCTTCTTGCTGTATGTACAATAGAGTAGATATTCTCTTATTCTTTTTCTTTTTTATCTTGAAAACAATTTGCCCATTGATACATACACAAAGGACTAAAAATTAGGGATAAAAAAAAAACATGAAAAATAGAATATGTCTGAAATGGTGATAATTTTACTAAAGCATTTTTTTTTTGTATTGATGGTTATCCATAACTCTATCATTTCCTTAAATTTGGCACGTTTTTTACGGGACACCCTGTATCATTCCACGAGAGTACAAATCCAAGTCCAATACAGTTCAAGGGCCCCTATAAAATGATAACTCGTGCATAAACTTGTTCCTTGAAGACTTTGCTCAATGACCTTTGGGAACATGAAAGAAATTTGGAAAACTCAATCAACTTAGATAAATTTAATTACTCTTTTAAATTATTTCCTCTCTTTTCAAATTGGAAGATTCAGGATCACTGTAGCTGGAAAAGTATTATGTAATCAGAAGAAAAGGGTTAGAAACAAAATTGAGGATTTTATAAAACGTGATGTTTTAGGTAATTTGAGTTGTTTATTAGTTTTGATGAAAAACATCAGAATAATCCGTAGCACTACATGTACAGTCAGTCCCAAATACAAAAATCTGTGACACAAAATAGCCAACACGTTACAATGGGAATAAGGTTGTGTTGTCAACTTTTTGACCACTTTAGGTGTCATGAACTATTTAACGATGACTGTACATATCCAAGCATTTATCGAAATTAAAGCAGGCAAAGCCGCAGCAGAAGCTAGTTTGTTATCAATTCGAAGTCTCGTACATTAACACTTTTGTAACCTAAGTAAGGACCTAACTAATAAAATAACGAAGGACGTTGAATCTAAGTCGAATCTATCTTCTATATCTATAAAAGCGAAAGGTCACTGACTGACTGACTCATTTACTCATCACGAAATCTCAGAAACTATAAGTGCTAGGGGTCTTGAATTTTGCATAGGGGTTCCTTTTAGAACTTAGGTGCTCACTAAGCCAGGTTTTTGCAAAATTCAACCCCTAAGGGGGTAAAACGAGGTTCACGCGTACGAAGTCGCGGGCGGCCGCTAGTAGTCTTTATTCACTGAGTTCGAAACAAATGTGTTAGCACTCAATGACCAACTAAGCAACCAAGAGAGTTCAAAATCAAATACAGCCAACAGCACATCAACCTTTACATTGTTGTTGCAAAATGACGCTTATTGCAACAAAATAAGATAACATATTGTTTAGCTAAATACTCTGTTGTGTAACTTTGAATACAGTTTCAGTATAACAAAGTTATCTACACTTCTCTCAACCAATTTAGTTTTACAACTTAAAACTGAGTTGCAGACCGTAAAGCACTTATGAGAACAACCGAGTGCATACAGACACACATTATGACTGTATCTAGACCGAACGTTAGTTAGGATTTACGATTTTGCAATGCTAAACTTGTAGTTATGTATGTAAATGTGAAAACCCTTAATTTTTATGTTATTTAACAAAGTTTTTGTCCATATTGGACTTAATCATAGGAAGGAAAGATTTTGTATGTTTGTAACAAATAAACTCAAAAACTACTAAACCGATTTCAGAAATTCTTTCACTATTAAAATGCTACATTATCCTTGACTAAATTCATCATCAACATCATCTCTACCATAGGACGTCCACTGCTGAACAATGGCCTCCCCCAATGCATTTCATGTTGCCCGATTGGTAGCGGCCTGAGTCCAGCGCCTTCCTGCTTTCTTTATCCATCCATGATGGTAAATTTTCATAGATAACCATGCAGTCATGCTCATAATCATCAGATTGATTTTTGCTCCTGACGAGATTTCTATGAAATATTGAATTTTGGATGAAAACATAATAAACTGAGGAAAGATAGAGTTTCTTTCATCACCATCGTACAAATTTTTGCCTTATTCTTTTATCTCGAAATACTACCTAGAAGAATAATTTCTCTCAATGCCAAAATCCAACCCCAACAAAAACAAGAAGTTGTTTGCATAAGATGTTGGAGCACTCGAAAGTTTTCGCTCGGAGAGTTCTTGAGAGCTTTTGATCATCACGAGTGTACGCATTTGATAAATTATTTCGGAGTCACTCCCGTTACATTCGTAGATACTTCATACCGTGGCAAATAACACCTTAGGGCTCGTGCCCAAAGCAATCCAGAGGTGGAATTGTGTAAAGCAATCGTAATTATTTCACAGTTCATAACGTACGATAAAGTGAGTTAAACAAAGCGTTTGACAGAATAATCGTACGTTATGAACTGTCAAATGATAACGATTGCTTTACACATTTCCACCTCAGTTTTGCGGGTTCCAGTAATGCTATCATGTGAACACGTGTGATTGACACTACAAATTCGAACGGATCGGCTTTCTGCGGGATATTGCAAACGGGATAGGCGTGTTAACGTTAATATTAAAACTCGTATACTAACTAAATGCACCCTGCAAAGAAAAAAGTCCAACTCCGTGGGAATAACACCTAAATGACGTAAATTGTATTGCACAAATTACTATTAATATTCTTTAAAAAAATCCGTATTTATTTGCGTATTAAGTAATGTCCGATGTCCTCATAAAGGTAGCAGGGAGGTGCTGGATGAAAGTCTCTACCAACAGGGCAATGTGGAAATCATTGGGGGAGACCTATGTTCAGCAACTTTGAACATCGCAATTGTTATCCTAGTATGATTAATGTTAGTGTTAGTTGAAAAATAATAGAATTTTCATATCAAAACTTGTAATTAATTTCTCGTTAACTGTGCCCTTGTCCATTTGTTGACCATCCTTGTAATTACTGATTGCAATTAATATATTTGGGTATTATTTGGAACATTTAAAAAACGTTCAATATTAAAATCAATCATTGCTTTTATGAACATAAACATTCTTTATGAAAGAACTAACTTATTTATGTGTGTGAACTACCTATAATGTTTACAGCCAAAACTTTTGACAGCTAACGTCTTACACAAAGTTTTATAAAATATTTTCACATTAAGTTTCAGAGCATTAATTTCCCAAATCGCTTACTAAAATGTGTTGAAATTAACTTAGTGGTGTGATTTTGACATACTTGTGGCAGTCGCTTAACACTCAATTAAAAATCCGGGCGTTAAAACCCTTGTTTTAGGCAATTACCCGTCTGAAACGGTGTTAAATTATATTTTCCTTGATGTTGGAGCAAAATTAAACTATATTTTAACGGTATTTTAATTGGCGGGCTCGTGGTCGGCACCGCCTTTTTGAGGTTTTCTGGTCAGTTATTTTAAAGGTTCTAACCTTAACACAATGTTATTGTTACTGGGAAATCCAAACTACGTAGGTAATTTAGGGTTGAAACTCTTTCAAGTTAGCGATTTAGTAATTTACACGAAAAGATGCTTAAAACGGTTTATATGTTTAATAGTTTTTGGCGTTTAAAATTTATTCCAAATCCATTATGTCACTGTAATTTTGACATCTTAAAGTTTTCTACTAAAGTCAATCGATTCCAGTATTGCAGCTTTAAGATACTTCAGTGGGCCTAGACAAAGTGCAAATTATAATCGAAACCAGTCGAAAAGTGGTCGAAAAGCCCCTTTTTTGTATGGAGTTTTGACGGATTCGATTTTCGATTCGATCAAAAAGTGCGTTTTGTCTAGGGGGCTGTTTAGGTCTAGCAATCCGACAAGTAAAGGGATGATGTAGGTATAAGTTGTTTCTCCTGAAACATAGTTGTAAGCACACATTAAAAAAGCACATTGCTAAGCTTGTTTCGAGAAAATACATCAGTTTTATGACTTTTCTAAAACATTAAAATATATCATCTCTAAGCACTGCTAGTTTTTTCGTTACATAAAAATAATTTGAGAAAAAAAAACTTAGCGTAATGTTTTTTGAATTATTGCTCTTATTATTTTTCTTGTTCACCGTGAAAATCGTGTTATAATCGAGTTCTTTGCATGATCAAGTTTCGAAAACTATATCGAATGTGAACAGAATAACTAATATCGATCGATGCCAGTATTGGTACTCCAATATAACAATAAGCCTAACAAACGTGTTAACAAAAGGGTTAAGTAATTTGGCAACTGGAGCTGTAGCCTTTGAAAGTCTTTAACAAATTATTGAATGAATTGATCCATAATTGTACTTGAAATACCTAAATCCGGATAGAAATTATTTTCATGCATCAGAATTATCGTAACTAAGTATACAAATAAAAAAATATCTTTATTTCTTTGGACTTATTAAATGACTATTACTTCATATGGTACATATCTTCGTTTCTGAGATTTCGTGATGCGTGAGTGAGTCAGTCGGTGACCTTTCGCTTTTATAGATATTATAGATTTATTATATTCACAAGATCCCTTCCCACAAATAACTCTACACTACCATTAATGCGGAAACCTTTTAATACTACCGTCATTTTGTATAAACACCCTCACATTCCCTTACCTGTTCGAAATTTAATTTTACCCCCAGGGAAGCCTTCGTTTAGTGATAAATTAAGATAATTCTACCCCAATTGGAGCAGACGGGGTAAACGATATACAGGGTGTTATTTATACAGAGTGTTATTTATACAGGTTGATATTTGTACAGGGTGATTTTGTGATCAGTGTCCAAATTTTTAGGAGCGAATCTTCCGTAGCTTTAATGATACAAAACTTTAGATAGCTTCCTTTTTATTGGGAAATGATTGGAGTATTGGTCTAGCAGCTTATAAGTGAGTCAGTGCCCGAGGTAGGTATGACATAAATTACTATTTACTTTTGTACGTTTTTCAGATTGGCACGTCTTCAAGCGAGAGAGGTGTTAACACGTTCAATGCCGGCGTATTTTTAAGATTTTTTTAATAAAAAATATAAAAATAAAGTTTAAATAAAAACTCAAATAAATAAACGTAAAGAAGACTTATTTAACCTTACATCATACTAATGAAACTCAACGTAAATTAATTTACGTTGAGTACAACGTAAAGTTATTATCGTAAATACCCACACAAAGTTTAAATGGGACCCAAGATTGTGTCTTTACTAAAGTTAGATAAGAAACGTATTTAAAGACATTGAAAAGGGCGTGTACAAAATTTCTTTCACCCCAAGACCTTAACCGTTACATTCCGCAAAGTAATTCTATTTAAACAACATCTGTAGAGATACGGTCACGGTTTGGTAGTCGCTACGCTACTGACCAATGCTTTGGAGAACTTTTCTTTTGAGGGTAGTTTCTTAACCCTATCACTGCCACGTGATTTATTTAAAATAATAACAACATCAGGTTTTAGGCTCTGAGGTAACAATTATAATATTCCTAAGTTGTATTATTAATATCTTGCAACCGTAAAATACTAGTGACAATAAAAAAACAAATATAGCAATATTTGCATTAATTTTCTTTATTTAAATTAAACATCATGGTCTGCTTGTTTAAATTTTGCACATTTGTGACGTCGCTGCAAAGCAATCGCAAGAGAGTTTCAGTAGAATAATGCCTACCAACGTTATTTCTGTAATTATTTTGGAAATACAATGTTTTAGAAATCGAATATAACATACCCCTTACACTCCCTTTACAACAGTTTCAGTTTCAGCATCCCTTTGTCCGTTTTTTCGCGATAACTTTCCTACTGTTAACTCGGAAAATTACTCGTCAAAACAAAATTAAAGTTGCTAAAGTCATTATTGCGAGTCTGAGAAGTTCGGCGGTTCGTTTGTAGAATCACCTTACATTGATCAGTTTCTGTTGTTCGATGGTTCGTAACATGAGCTCGACGTATCAAGGAATTTATTCGAGCAATTTTATTTTATTATCATGCAAAACTTATATTTTTTAAATAATAGTATAGAACGCTGTCATCATCATCAGCATCATTCGGCCGCAGGACGTCCACTGCTGANTTTCAAATCGCCCGGTTGGTAGCGGCTTGCATCCAGTGCATGGAACCCTGCTGTGTGCATGAAATTAATAAAGTTAGACAGAATGTTTACAGGAATATACAATTTCAATCAAAATATAACACTTGTAAACGGCCACTAGTGTAACATTATTATATTCGTGGGTTAATTAGATTTTCAATGGGCTACAAAAATAAATATCCCTTGACCCTAGGGTTAGACTTTATAAGCTTTGGGAACCACTGCCTTACTAAAATTACTGTCTAGGTGTACTTGGCACTGTCTTACAAAAGTCACTATCTAGATGTACTTGGAAAACAGTGGTCCTTCAATATTGCTAATAGCTCCGATGTCTTATTTGCTTGACTTAGGATAAAGTTGGGAGTGGAGACAATACGTGTACCGACGAGTAGTAAGTAGGTGTTTGTGCACATCAACGCCATCTATACGAGCCTTCTGGAACTAACATCAGTCACATCACCAACGCCATCTACACGGGCTCTCGAACTACCGCAACACCTTGTCACATCGATCAACATTGATTAACGCACAATGGATGTGTGTTTCAACTATCTAAGCCGAGATGGCGCTGAGGTGCAGCTGAAAGCCAGAGCTGGGAGCGCAGTCAACGCCCGAGCATCATTCGGCAACTCCATCGATTCACGATCAGACGCGAACCACTTATAATTTGTATTTATTGTATATTCAAAGCACTGTAAAGTAATTAAAGTCTATAGTATATTTTAATAAATCTACATCATTGAAGATTCCCGTATACCTACACTACCCTGGAGAGGACACAAGTCAGGAGGCAGAAACCAGAATCAGTCAGGCCACACACACATACATCAACAGTAGGTATCTACAGGTCATTCTGCTTTTTTGAGTGTGTGAGTTAAGGTCATCGTAGACTTATCAACTCGGAAAGGTATCAACACCGTATCGCCTTTCGCGAGCTGTCAACGTCTTTCGAGCGCTGTCAACAACGAGGCGAGGCGTTAACGATACGGTGCGCATAAGTGTGCGTTGCAGTATGAAGTTTCATACAAATGATACTGACCGATGGGGCAGCAAGGTTCTGGAGTAGAGGCCGCGTAACGGAAAACGCAGTGTGGGACGTCCACCCACAAGGTGGACCGACGACATCATAAAGGTAGCAGAAAGGCGCTAGACGCAGGCCGCTACCAACTGGGCAACATGGAAAGCATTGGGGGAGGCCTATGTTCAGCAGTGGACGTCCTATGGCTGAGATGATGATGGTGATGGTTATGATACTGATCGCCTCGAGTTGATACGGTTACAATCCCTTTCCGGGTTGATAAAAAATGTGCTAGTACGTTCTTTAATCATTTTCTCTCGCTCATTCCAACACCGAGTGAGAGGAACAAACGATACTTTACCTGGCCTAAAAATCCATTGTAATATTCCAGACAGGTGGTACGTCAACGTTCGGGTTTTCATAAAGAATCTCATTTCGCCCCAAACTAAGGAAATTGTGTGAAGCAATAAAATACTTTTAATTAAATCTGTAATGAAACTGGAGGCATTAGGAGAGTCGTAAATTTCAAAAATCTAAAAGTTGGGATGTAAATTAAGAAATTAATGTTCATAAAAGTAGTGGATTTCATTAAAGATTTTTTGGTAAAATTATTCCCGTTTACCCCTCGTGGTAAGCTAAAATTAAGTAATTATTTATTTATTTAAAATCTTTATTGCACACATAAAACCAGTGGTACAACAGGCGAGCTTAATGCCATGTGGCATTCTCTTCCAGCTAACCAGAAAATTAGACAAAACAGAGAATTTAAGTAGGCGTTGCAAAATAGTACCTACAAATACAAAAAATATATACTAATATAATACATAAAATATTAAGATTATGTCACCACAATAGTAAGTTCAATAATAATAATATCAATTGGGTAGTTTCTAAACAATATCAAATATCTACTTAGGTATTTATTGTTCGTAATAAAATTGGTTTTCAGACGACTTTGGAAAAATTTCATAAAATATTACGTAAAAGAAGAAGCTGAATTATTAAATTCAATTTTTGGTACAGATTTATTTTCTGATATTTTTAATAAATCGTCCTTCTTGTAAGTCGAATCAATCTTTATCAAAATTCATCCATCACAATAGGGTATTCAACACTATCAATCTATTATATTGAAGTATTTTTTATTAAAAATGTTTTGTTTATGTCCCTTGGCTGATGGCGCAGTATGTAAATTCAAAAAATATTTTTATTTATTATTATTTTTTGAGTTGTTAAAATGTCGTTCTGCTAGATGAGGACGTCACTATTTTACCAACTACATAGTGGGCTAATTAAAATCTGTGTTTACAGTTGATTGATTGACAAGTAAATGAGTTTTTTTTTTAATTTTCAGATTAGAATGAATGAAGTGTATTTTTTTAATTTGAAAATGTTCTGGTTTGGAATTGAATTATTGATAGATGGTGTCAAATAATCCATTAGTAACTAAAGCGAGTTATCAAAGGACTTTGTATTTACAATTACACCTTCTGCAATTTCGTATCATCATCATCATCAACAGCCCTTTACAGCCCACTGCTGGACTATGAGCCTGGTGGTTCATAGTCCAGCAGTGGGCTGTGGAGCTATGGTTTTGCCATAATCTCCACGCTTGGCAGACGGATTGGAGATCGTCATTTCGTACAGCTCGTTAAAATTCTACTGATTGAAGAATACGTCTCTGATCACGCTGGCCTAAAATCCAGCATCTTCACAGCCAAACGTTCCTTGGCGAGAACACGCGGTATCAAACAGCGATCGAGTCACGTATCGCTGCCACTTATTTGTCTTACGAAGTTCTAAGGGCTCGAACTTACTGAAAAATAGAAGTCATAATTTTACAAAGAATAGCTTTTGAAAAAAAAATCCAAAATAAAAGATCAATCACTTTGCATCACATTGACATTTCTTTTCGAAAAGTTTACACAAGAAGTTTAGCTATTAAGTATCGGTATTGGCAGTGAAAGGTTTAAAAATATTATAATGTATGCGCCAATGAAACTTCGTGAATGCAGAGGTGGGAAACCTCAATAATAAATAAGACTTTAATTAAATGATAAAGAACCTAAATTGTTTGTCTCTGGATGAACTGAACTTTATTGTACACGACCACTTGTACTATGTAGAAAAGCATAAAAACCATTCATACTTAGTATTTTTATATCCTACTTGACTAGATATCTTGGGACCTCCAAAATAGCTAAAATTGTAATCTTTAACTACTTAGTCACGAAATCGTTAGAGGAGGTGTGGACCAAAATAATCATAGCAATGCCATAGAAAGAAGGAACATTGCTATTACCATGTTTATAAAGTTGGTATTTTCGGAATATCGTATCCATATTTTTTTAGATACAGTGTGTGAATCCCCTAACTTCAGAGTGTGCCAGCCAGGGTTCTATTCTGCAAATCGATATAAATACATCTGCTCAATCTACAACTCGCTCACGCCGCCACCATCTCTGCAGGACTGAAACTGGTCGAGTCGAAAGCTTACATCGATTTGCAAGTTGGACTCCAAGGTCTAACATAGTAACTCTTTACTATGACTTTTATATCAGTCACCAGCTGTCCAGCAGTTTTATTATAGGTTTTATCGCACGCCTTACTATTTTATTTAGTTTTCTATGTTGCAAATCACATTTTAGAGGAATACAGTGAGGGGAAGGTCGAAAATCACTGGAGTGAAAGTCCTTCCGACTTGAAAGGGTCGAAGGTCGATTTGACTCTTTGAAAAATCTAATTAAGTATTAACCAACTGAAGCATGGTAATCTTGGCATCTTATAAAGGATGTAGCGAGAGATAAAGAGTATAAAACGTCTTTGGGTCTAATAATACACCTTCTAAGATTTGCTCCTTTGACCTTTGGGTAGTTGCGACAAAAGTTTTACTCGTCT